TAACTCTGTCCCTTCATTCCTTTGTTCTTGCTGTCAGTATGATTGCACAGGGCCTAGAAGACTTCCTGCAGCCCATGTTCTCAACATGCCTGTTGATAATCTTGAAGATGGTCCCCTTCTGAACAATGGAAGTTAGGCTACACAAGCAGTATCACCAACCGGGACAAGTGCTGTTGGGTTCTAAAGTACTTAGCTCCTAACAGAAGCTCTACCTGTAGGCGGCAGTGCAGGTGTCCTTGTATTCCTGGAGCTTCCCACAGACCATGTTGAGGAACTGATCTGAGTACGCACTCAAGTCGTGCATCAGGTTCGTGAGGTCTTGCACCGTCTTCTCCACAATGATTGTGCTCTGGACAAGAACAAAGAGAGAGAACACAGACTGATGAGATCTTTCACTCCGTAATGTTTAGGACAAGGAAGGACAACGGGAAGGGTGTAATGACTGAAGATGCGTGAGCTTTCCTGGGAAGTGCTGACATTGAAAAAGATTAACTGAAAACAACAACAAAATAATAGTATCTTCCATACTGCTGGTCTTCCAAAAACCTGAGAAAGTGTTTTTATTTGTGTGTCTGTATGTGTGTGCGTGTGTGTGTGTATGTAGAAGAAAATGGGACAGGGATTTTCAAATTGATGTCATGGGATTCTTGGCACTCACAAGACATCTCTGCGGCTTCTAAGAAAGAAAATGATTTGTTAACTCTAGGGTCCCACTCAGAGACTAGGGATCTCTGAACAGCAACACAAGGTAAAAGGCTTCCACGATTTATTTTAAAAGTTTCAAAGCCATCAGTCTATTAAGAACAACAAAGAGTAACATTTGTATTATGCCTTTCAACTTGCAGAATGTTTTCATATACACAACATATGTTATCTCAGTTAAGATTCACATATTAATCATGATAATAATAAACATTTATTGGTTTGTTACAAGTGCCAGGACAAAGCTAAGCATTCTTCAAGCTTTATTTCATTTCATCCTCTCAACAGGTGGGCCCCGTAATCACACCCAGTTTAAAGACGAGGGAATTTGAGCAACTGAAGGGACCAAGACAAAGGTTCCTGTCTTTGTTCTTTTAACCACTTCATTCTGCCTGCACGCTAGACCTGAGTTCTCCTGAAACAGCCCAAATGTTTTCTCACATTGTTCCCACTAACAGCAGGATCCAAATAGAATCAGACATATTTTAAAACTGAATTAACTGTACATCAGTGTTCACTGCAGTACTTTTCACAATAGCCAAAACGTGGAAACAACCTAAATGTCCATCAACAGATGAATGGATAAGCACGTGTGGTATACACACATGGGGGAACAGGAGTCAGCCATAAAGATAAATGAAGT